TGGCAGGACCCGTCTCTTATAACCCATAGTCCAGCGCTGGACTTCAACAGGAAGAGCTGCGGCAGCTTCCGGCGCCTGAAGCAAGGGCTGTCTTTGCGCTGGCTGTGGTACTCGTAGCAGCCTGAGAGGTGTTTCAGCTGTTGTGGGAAGGTGAAGATGTACACCAAGGCCCCTGGACCGGAGGCAACTTTGTTTTTCACCTCTTGAGGTCTGGTCCGCAGCACGTGCAAGGGAGCGGTCTCAGACCCCAGTCGCCACTCTTAGAGGTCCTTTCAGGTCGCAATGGGCACCCTCAAATTCTCAGCGAAGCTCAGAAACCACTCTGTTCAGTGCGAGAACTGCCGGCAGCGGTCGCTGAACCAGTATCTCACCTCATTGTCATCGGAAAAGGGAACGAAATACTCCTGAAATAATCCCCGTTCCTCCTGTTCCCGCGGGATTCGCCACTTTTTCTGCGTTCTTCGCCACTGTGGGATTGTCCACGGCGCACTTCATGGCGACTGAGTCTGAGCACTACACCTCAAGCGGAGGCGAGTTTGTTTTTGGGCTCCTGCGCTCTCGTCCGCAGCAATTGTGTTGGAGCAGTCACACTGCCAGTATCCACTACGTTGAGCTCAGGTGACTCCAATGAGCAAAAGCACTCCTCGAAAGCCAAAACTCTACCAAGATTATTCAGGTTTCCCTTGCACCCGGCCATTTCGACATCCCGACCAGAACGCTCCAAAGTGGAATCCTCACCTCAGCAGCTGGGGAGGCAAGGTGCCCAGGCAAGCCCAGGACTCGGCGACCTGGCGGGAAGAGAGCGGGGATAAATCCTTCTCTGCAACCCCAAACCCAGCCTGGACAGGGCCGGGTCGCAAGGCCAACTCGGTGGGGATGCCCTGCAGTTGCAACACCACCTGCGACCGGGCCGGAGCAAAGTCCAGAATGCCCCTGCTTTACGGTCTGCATGCCGGATGCCGGCCTCCTTCTCGCTGATGCCTTCGTCATCGGGCAGGTCTACGTTGATGATAAGCCGATCGTGGGGGTTGGCCTGCACAAGAGAGGCTCCTCAGAGGATCAGCGCTTCCTTCGAAAATCCCCAGGGGGCCTCTGGGCAGAAGCCGTAGTAGAAGAGGAGCTCCTCGGCTTCGGGCTCGCGAAGAAGGGACCTTCCCCCACAGCGGATAGGGACGGCACCCAGCTCTGCAGAGGGCCATAGGAAAGGCAGACCTGCCAAGAGCCAAAGGATGTGAAAAGCTTAGGGGATTCCATAGCCTTTTCTTGCCTTTCTCTCCTCTGGTCCAGCCCTTCAGGATGCCAAACGGTGAAAGGCACTGTTGGCTCCCAGCTTTGATGGTTTGGGCCCGTGTAGACAATGGAAGGAATGCCTTTCCTGGCTGTTCAAAGGTGCTCTTCCTCTTAGGTAGCCTTAACTTCAAGTCTGTCCGGAATCTCTGCGCCTTGATTGGTTCAGCCGTGCCACGAAGCCTCGAAGTCTTCGCCCCCGCAAAGGATCTGAGAAGAAACCCTCCCGGTCAGTTCCGTCGCACCTCTGAACCGCTGCGAACGGGTGCTGCCAGCTCGACCTCGGAACACGTGAGGCTAGCAGACCCCACCTGTCGCAACGCCGAAAAGTCTACATCAACACGACTGCCACACATCAGACATGGGAGCGCACCACATCCCAGAAACCACATTCCGGGGACCTGCCTGAACCCAAACCCCACACCAGCATGATCTGGGGATGTCGCGACCAGCGCGCGCCGCTGGTTGTCGAAGTAAGGCGGTGCACAGGCCTGGGCTTTCCCGCTGATGATTGAAAGCCTTGAGGGAATTCTAGTCCCAGGGTTTCTGACAACATGCGAACCATCAAGATGAGAGCGGAAGATCGGGCAGAGTAGGGGTGGATTCTGGCCGTCACTGAACACAGCGCTGTACTGTCACGCATCGTCACGCATCAACGAGCGCGGCGCTCCTGAGGAGCTGTGGTTGAGCAGGTCCACCTGGGCTCGGGACTGGCATGGAAATTGAGATGTTTGGGCTTCTCGGCTCGGCTCCGCTCTGGCCTCAGGGGCGAGGCAGACGACACGGGAAGGAAACTGCCTGAGCGGGCAGAAACCGAACCTGGCTGTGCCCTTGGGTGATTTTGCAATTTGTTTGGTCCTGGGGGCAACATTCATGAACACCACCAGCTTGCATGTGGTGGGACCATTTTTGTCCAGACTTCGGCTAACCCAAAACCAAAAGCTACCGGCTACATCGATCAACATTGCCTGTCCCAGCTGGCGTCATGCGCTTAATTCTCGCATGCTACCCGCCCTTCACCTGCAATTAAGCTGAGGCTTGAACACTCCGGCGATGTGTGGGCAATCTGCCTTCGGCACTACTCACCGTGATTCAGCATCCGTGCAGGCAGCACCGCCACCTTGATTTCCAGCGACACCGCGCGGCTGTCGAAAAGGCACCTGGCACGACAAGAACATACTTCGCAAGGCCTCTGGCTGATGCTTCTGTACCCTTCCCCCCACAACCCAAGAAAAGAAGGCGAATGGCCCGATACGGCATCCGACGTGTTCCTAACAGAACGGAAGGGGCGGCCCTCGGAATGACTCGCCCAAGGCTTAGAACACCGGTAGTAAGACCTTAAGAGCCGCCAAGACCGCATTCAAAGCACCCGAAGCCCACCTGGCCCAGAGGAGGTCGTCGAAACTCACGGCTCCTCCCATGCACTTCGCGGCCTGGCCAAGCTCTTCGCGAATTCACGTGTCCAGGTGTCCATAAGCTTCGAGCTTCTGCGGACTGGTCAGCGACTTTGGACTGCATCCTCTGACGCATGCATGATGTGTGCACGGTTCAAACCGATCACTCCTCCAAGGACCCCTGAAAGGATCGCTTGTGTCTCAATGTTGGTGTCACTTGTGTCTTTTATGGTCTCGTTTGTATTCTTCTTTCTGTCGTCGCTTGTGCCTTTTTGCTTGCTTCGATGCCACAGTCTCCTGCGAAAGCCCTCTTGTTCCAGCGTGCCGGTTCAGGGGCAGAGGGTGGGAAGGGAAACTAAAGACACCAGCGACACCAACAAATAAAAAGACACAAGTGCCTCCGGCCTTTGCCGCAGCGGCCAAGGCTGTGGACACCTGGCCCGGCTGCGGCCGGGGTTGCTTCCACAAACGGTTCTGGGATTGTACATGCTGAGAGAACCGAACGTCGGGATGCTTTCCGCATCTTTGGAGCATGTGTGGCTCCTGGCTTGTGAAGACGCTGATTCACGCTCTTGCTCAAGTTGGGACCTTTCCGGTGCGTGCAATCTTGAACCTGCAGTTCGATGCGAAGCCACACTTAAGGCTTAGAACTATGGCTTCCTGCTGTCCTCCCACATCCTACACAGAAGAATCGCTGACGTGCTTGGATGGCGGAGGCTGGAGCTCGAGGCAGGACATCTCCGAGTCTCCACAAACATCAGTCAAGCAAATGCCAAAAAAAAGCTACCTATTCCCTCGGAAGGCATGAAGACTGCTTTCCCTCTATGCTGCCCCCACCTCCCGAGACAGAGCCCAGAGGGTCAGCTGAGTTTCCTGGCCGGGTGCCAGACTCTCCGATGCCAACGCACCCTAAATAATCCTCGAACCACGCGGCACAGCAGCGGGTCTTTCGAACCGAACCGTGGTTCGATTGAGGCGTGTAATATCAAAACAAGATCCGTGGAAAGATTAACAGAACCTCGGGTATGTATGATCAACTGGGACTAAAACGGCGACGACGAGATGAAATTAGTTGAGAAGGAGATGGACAAACATACTACTGCTTTGCAGTTACCGATGACGCCACCCTACGAAACGGATACGTATACATCAAAGAGATACTATCACGACACCATCACTGTAAAATACACACCGACTACACCAAGCTAGCAAAAGATCAAATAGGAGTATGGAGTGTTAACAGATGCCTTCGTCATGAAAAAACATCTGAGAAGAGCCAAGAACCTAATTGAGCTCAACGAAGTGGAGACGCGAAAGGAGCAACACCATAGCGGAACCCATGGAGCAGTGGAAACCCAAACGGAACGAATTGATCCCAATACCCATATTCAATAACGAGACCCGACCCATAGAAAACGAGTGAAACTCAGAAAGCATGGCAACAGACATAGTGGCACATAACCCTATGATGATCCGGATCTAAACATGCAGGTAGTGGAAAGTCGCCGGTAGCAAAGCATTTCAGCAAGTTGGGCCACAATACTCTGTTTGTAGTGCCGCAGAACCGTTTAGCACAAAATACTGATGATGATGTGGTCACTACTAACAAGCTGTTCGCCGTACCCGTGGGTGATGGAGAGGAGCTACCCGAGTTTGATCACAGCAGCTATAATTGTATAGTGTTTGACGAGACCAATACAAACGGCACACATACCCTAAACAGGATCAGAGAGCCCGTTAAACGAAACCCGAACAAGATCAGAATCGGAGCGGGTGATGTAAAACAGCGACCCCCAAATCAAGATCTAACTAACACAAGCAAGCCCGATGAATACGGAGAAAAATGTGTTGATCAGATCTTCAAGTTTAATCTTATGCTTACCATCTGTAAGAGACTGGGGTCACAAGGAGATGTAACAGCGGAAGCCAACATGAAATCTCAGAAATGCCGTATGACGACATGTGGCTTCATAAGATATATTTATCTGAGTTTGTTCAGAAGTATTTTCAACACGACAAGTGACATCACGGAATCTCAGAGGAACATCGCCTATACTAATACGAGGTGCTTACAATCTCAAATGCAATAAGGAAGAGCTTAGGTAAAACGGATAAGTATGAAGTGGGCGAGGTTCTCATCTGCAGATTATGCTACAAAACGAACAATGTAAAGTTCTATGTTAACTACAAGTTTAGGATCGTAAGCACATCCAAGAACGTAGTTATGCTAGAGAATGTTGAATCAAGACAGCAGTATACACCGGACTTAGCTACCTTAGATAGACATTTCAGAAACGACCCACAAAACTTGCCGTTCTGCAGAAGGGGCTTCTATTAATGGTAAGATCGTTATACACGAGTGGGGGAAGTCGCCCTTAGTAACTCGTCAGTGGTTGCAGTGTGCCTTGACCAGAAGCAGCGATTTTAATGATGCCCTGCTCTACGAGAGTGCCGAAGAAGAGAACGAACTGCACGACAAAACGCTACATAAATATTGGCTTAATGAGATAAACGTCTACAAGTTACAAGATCAAAAAGCGGATAGAGAAATAGACGAAACTAGGTATGTTAACCCAAGTTGGTTTATGACGAGGGTCTACAGTCATTGAAACAATGGCGGGTGTAACTTAAAGCGCACTCCCACAGCGACCCTGACTCAACTACTGTTACGACCTGCTACTAGTACTTCTATAACTGCTGGTAATACGACTACTAGTACTACTAGTACTACTACTATTGCTGCTATTCTGCTACTATTACTGCGTATTCCTACTATTGCCACTAGTACTAGGATTAATACTAGTTACTCGTGCTAATACTAGTACTGCTACTGCTGCTGCTGCTGCTACTACTACTACTACTACTACTACTACTACTACTACTACTAATACTACTACCAGTACTACCACTACCGCCACCACCACCACCACCACCACCACCACCACTACTATTTACACCGCCTCCCTGCCAGCAACTTCACAGCATGACTGACATCATCCTCATTCCCCAAAAATCCCAGCAAAAAGCCCAAAAGGGAAACCCAAACCTCCCAATCTTGCCGGCAGGAGCCTCGACGAGCTTGGAGATTTGTTCTCCTAAGGCCTCCAGGGCCTGCAGACAAGGGGGAACGCACTTTTAAAAGGCTCCACGCCCAGAACTTCAAAGGTAAGGTCATCAAACCTACAGCTCGACGTACGCAAATCCGCCCCCTTCCCCCCCCTCCCCCCCCCCTCCCCCCAACCCCGGGTTTGCGGAGGGTCGACGGCCGCCTCTATCGGCCAGGTTATTGGCAGCAGGTCCTCGTCGAGCTGCGGCCTTTGCCAGCCCAAACCCGGAGCCCTCCGTGGTAACCAGATGGTCTTGATGTGGCCCTGGTTGCAGGCTTCCAAGTGTCATGCGGAGGGTCACGACTTCCAGGGCTTCAAGAACCCAGTCCTGAAGCCAAAAACTCTCAAGATTTGGAGCCTCACCCTCATCCCGAACTCAATGAACCCTTCTTCTCCTACAAACCTTGGCTGCCGGCGCGCGCTCGAGCACCGCCTCGGTCTGATTGGGTTTGCTTCTTGTGAGAAGCCGCAAGAACGCGCGCACGCAGACACACACTCACACACTTCACAGATCTCGGCTTCCGTCCAGTCGTGTCTTGTCTTATCCATGACTGGCTTGCTTCTGGGTCGCTGCATGTGTGCATGCGCACGCGCTGTGCAGGTGCGTGCGCGTGCGCATTCGCAGCAAGTTTGCACATGCATGCATGCACGGCATACCTACATTCTTGCAGCCAAGTACTTTATGGCACTTTGCAACAGAAGCAAGCAACATGTACATGACTAAATCCAATCACAAGTGCGTCCAAACTTGAACAAAGTGTGTTTCTTTGTTTTCCCGGTCCAGGAGAAGCTCGGCGCGAGGCCCTCCACGGGGATTCCGCGGTGGGCGACGCCTGGCAGCGCCTCAGCCAAACGATGCCGAGGCCAAAGATGGATCGAGGTGACACGCTGCCCATCGGACATAGCTTTGATGCCTTCAGAAAAGGTTTTCCCCAGCGCGCCTGTGTTCTGCGATTGCAAACAGCATAGTCACGGCCTGTCACGGCGAGGACATCCGCAATCTGTCATGCCTATCCTTGTCAATTCTTGTCCACTACACACACCCTCGAACGGCATGGCTCCCTGGCTGGGAAGCCTCCACGTGAAGGCCGACGTGCAGCAGCTGCTCCGCAAGGCCCCCGAAGTGCTGCAGCCAGTGTGCGCTACACTCGGGGACTTCGATGAAGGATCTAGTGCTGCTTCCATGACCGGAATGGAGCGTATGTACCAGAAGCGCAGGCATGCAGCAGGAATCCGGCATCATCGACAGGCTGGCAGGAAGTGTCACGACAGCACAGATGCGCCTCAGACTTGAGAGCGCTGTGTATATTGAGCAGCTTCTCCTGCCAAAGCTTGGGAAGCTCAGACAAGCAGTCAGCTCTGCACCGGCCCTCGGGATTTTTCTGGTATAGCAATGTATACATCCTCAATGGTTGTAAGGCGAGTGCAGTCTGACACTCAGCCTACTGCAATACCCTTACAAACATGATTCCGGATTTGGCTGGTGGGTTGAAGCCCTGTTGATTCTGCTTTGATGGTTCATGGGCAGCTTTGCCTTGCAACCATAGCGTGAACCCTGAATCCTGACTACGTTGAAACTGCAAATCACGCGTACACTGAAAACTCCAAGCCCAAACTAGGGACCGTCAACCCTGAGCGCATAGCCTCAGGGATGGCGAAGAGCTCTTCTCCACTATTGAGATCCTCTTTTTGGCTCGGTATTGCGGCTTCGTGCAATTTCAGGAGCAACATTTGACAGAACTGACATGACATCATAGTAAAAGTAGTAGAAGTAGTATAGGCAGTAAAAGCAGCAAAAGTAGCATAAGTAGAAGAAGTAGTACGAGTAGTAGAAGTGGTCTCAGTAGTTTAAGTAGTATGAGTATAGTATAGTACTAATAACAGTAGTAGTAGTCGTCGTCGTAAT